AGTTAGGAAAGTCCTTTGGTTTGAACCAAAGGACTTTCCTAACTCGCAAATCTGCCACTTGTTTTTATTGTATAAAACAAAGGCATAGGATAGCAATTTTATACTATGGATGTAAGGCACCATTGAAAGACCCTCCAATTGGTCACCTCATAAGAAAGGGATGGTGTACTATTCATCTGGACCACCCATTTTAAAAAAATTAAGTTTTTATAGATACACTCGATCTACACCATTTTTTTAAGCTTTAAATCTCATAATTAAGAGTGAAAATAGATTTTTAAGATCTTAGAATATCAAAACGTTTCCAATACCATAACTGCATCTTTTAACAAGATTTGGATGTCTTATTTTGATTCTTTATGTAAAAGGTGTGATTAGCATGAGGTTGGAACCTTAAACAATCAAAGTAATCCATTTTAAAAACATTAAGTTTTTAAAGATACACTCGATGTACACCATTTTTTTAAGCTTTAAATATCATAATTAAGAGTAAAAATGGATTTTTAAGATCTTCAAATATCAAAACGTTTCCAATACCATAACTGCATCTTTTAACAAGATTTGGATGTCTTATTTTGATTCTTTATGCAAAAGGTGTGGTTAGCATGAGGTTGGAACCTTAAACAATCAAAGTAAGGGGCACCTCTTATAAAGTGCACCTTTTGAGAAAAATGGAATTTTAGCATAAAAAATTCTTAGGATGGCTTGAGAACCCATTTTCATCTCTAATTTTAAATTTTTGGACTCCAAAAATGATTCAAATCAAATAGATTTATAAACAAATAAAGTCTTAAAAATGGATGATCCAAATAATGTCTTAAAAATCAATTAGAGGATTTTGCTACATCAAAACAATATTCTCTAATGAATTTTTGAGGTGCTGCAACCTTATATAAACTTTTTCCTTATAAAAATTACACCCCAAGGTGCTGCAACCTTATATAAACTTTTTCCTCATATAAACTACATCCCAAGTTGTTGCAACCTCATATAAACTTTTTCCTTATATAAATTACACCCCATATTAATATAAATTACACCCCATATTAATCTAGTCATCAATAGAATAGTGGTTTTATATGACATTTAACTATAGGGAAATTTTATATAAAAAATTCCTTTTTTTCAAAATTTTAAAAAGAAAACTTTTTCCTTATATAAATTACACCCCATATTAATTTAGTCATCAATATAATAGTGGTTTTATATGACATTTAACTATAAGGAAATTTTATAGAAAAAAATCCTTTTTTTTAAATTTTTTAAAAAAGAAAAAAGGGCAGGGCTCTCCTTGAGGTTTTATAGATAGACATCGCAGGGCTCTCCTTCCATAATTCACACGTTTGGTTTATGCATAAATTGGCTCTTGCATACTGCCAGAGTTTCAAAAAAAAAAGTTCGAAGACAGGTTTTGAGTTATCATTGGGTGTAGGATGGTTCTGGCTCTCTGGGTGGAGCAAGTATCCTGCTATAACAATTGAGTAGAAAGTATTGTTTTCGAGGCTGGGAAGTCGAGGGATCATTTTTTAAGCTGGGGAGCAGAGCAGGAATGAAGCACAAGACGAGGACCATATACGAGCTCTAGCTGGGGAGATGAAAAGACGTAAATGATTTGGAGGAAGAGGTTAGAGGACAATGGACCCATGTCCACGTTCAAGCTTGGGGGGAACAAGTTTGATAATCTGATAAACGCCGCGAGGTACGTGGGCACGCATGAAGCAAATTACACTGCCGTGTGCAGGCTCCGGCTTGCAACATGCTCCTGCTGCCCGGTACGTGGTGGGTGTCGGGAAAAAGCTGCTAGAGCGTGAACAGGGAGAACTTGAAAATCTCTCTCGGTCTCTCCATTTAAAGCTCTTTCACGATCCACGCTTCCAAGAGAAATCAACTGCACCTTGGTCTTTTACATAAATTCATTATATCTCCATTTCTTCATAACAAGTTCACCTATTCGTTAGGTTTCAATTTCACTGCATTCATAAATTCGTTGCATTTCAATTTCACCTATTTCATTACAATCTTAATCACTGCATTCCTTGCATCTCTACGGAACAACCTTGCAACCTCACATACATCCAAATTTTGAATCAAAATCAAAATCAGGCCAATAAAAGAAGAAAATAAATCAAAGAAAAATCAGGCCGATAAAAGAAGAAAATAAATCAAAGAATATTCACACTCAAATTTTACATGGGGTGTGGAGCATGTACACTGTCAAGACAAGTTAACCTATGAGAACAAGGTATAGTAGGTGTGTGTGAGAGAGGGGCAGTAAAGCATCAGAGAACCAGAAGGGGGATCAATCCTCAGGGCGTTGAATCTCACCCATCATGATACGATTACTGGAGACCTTGAAGCCCAATAAAGCGGGATCGATCTGCCTCCCTTTCTTCCCTTTCTTCTTCCCACTCTTCACTGCTGCATGGCCTTGATCTGAATTCTCAACATTGGTTGTTGCATCAGTTTCATTTGGTGGTTGTGTTGGTTTCTTGGTGCTCCTAAGCATATCAATGAAGGAGGGCTCCATGATTTCACTGTCACCAAATGAAGATGTTCGCCTAAAGCTCCCTCGAGTAGCTGCTGCTGGGTTCTCTGGTGTAGTTGAAATTGCAGGAACACCACTGAAGTCTTTTCTTAACTCTGTGAGGCATCAGAAACTACTTTCAACATGAACTAGCCAGAAGAAGTACTGAAACTCAGAGAGAGAGAAAGGAGGATGGGTGGGGGGGGGGGGAGATACAAGGGACCATAATGAGAGAGGAAAGGAAAATAGGCTCATGCACAAGAATAGTGTGTGTGTGAGAGAGAGGAGGCACTCTAATAATGGACAAGATATGAGCCAAAGAGCACTTGAATGGACAAGAATGAGAGGGAAGGAGAGAGGACATTTCTGCCAAAAAGCAATTTACTACAACAGAAATATATGGCATACCATGTGAAGTGACGGGCTTCTTCCCCTTAACAGGAGTTGCAGAAGGCGGGCTTGACAAAGCTTCATGAGACAATGATGCTGGCGGGATTTTCGTTCCAGCATTTTCAAGTGTTTTTGGAAGGGCTGATGATGTTCTGCTTCAGGCATAAATAAAAGAAAAGTGGTGAGTATATGAATAGACTTAACAAATAGTCTCAAAGTTTCAGTAGCAACATAAACAAATAGTCTCAATAAAGTTTCAGTAGCAACATAAAATATAGACTTGCATGCAATCAGAGAGTTTCATTATGGTGGGTCTCCGTCCAAGGCTTCCAGTTAATAAAGCACAATGCCAAACAAAAATGTTTTGGATCAAAATTATGAAAGTTGCTCCACATGATATATCAGCAATACCTTTCAGTAGCAACATAAAATATAGACTTGCATGCAATCAGAGAGTTTCATTATGGTGGGTCTCCGTCCAAGGCTTTCAGTTAATAAAGCACAATGCCAAACAAAAAAGTTTTGGATCAAAATTATGAAAGTTGCTCCAAATGATATATCAGCAATACCTTTTATATGATGCTTCTGTGTAGTACTCTCATGTCATGGAGGGAAGTGGCATTACCTCTTTTTTCAAGAAATGAGTGGCAATACCTTTGTACATTATATATCATTCCTAAACTTCCAAATATTAAACATCTGTATTAAAGGAAAAGGTTATACATATTACAAGGAACCGAGAGCTAGTCCAGCAGCAGTCGCAATACAAAGGAAATACTAAAAGAAAAATAAACAGGATTAGGATCCATTCAAACATGCTCCATGTTTAGCCAGTGCTGTTGGAAATATTGCTATCTCTTATTCAAGGTTATAAATGTTAAGACATTTTTAGGTTCCATTCAAACATGCTCCATGTTTAGCCAGTGCTGTTGGAAATATTGCTATCTCTTATTCAAGGTTATAAATGTTAGACATTTTTAATCGCTTAAATTCCTATGTGAGGCACAAGTACTCGGGCAGGGGGGGGGGGGGGGCCTTTAAATACAAATTAGAACTTTGAGAAGGCCTATATTAAGGACTACAAAGGAAATACAGATTGAAGGCAACCCACAACTGCGTTCCCTATACAAAAACATCAAAGGGTCGAAAAAAAGCTTTACAATTTCTCGTGCTATGCAAGTGTCTAACAATACACAGAATAAAATAAAAGGGGGTAATGCTTGCTGAAAAAGGTGCTTAAATGGTTCCCGTCATGATATGCTGTTGAACTGCTGATTGTGAGGTGCCTCCTTAGCGAGGGTGTCGGCCTTTCCATCCAAACACTTCTCCAAGAAACTTGGGACTGTCCTGCTAAGCTGTGAAATTTCAAAAAAAAACATTGTTGAGTCTCCATGGCCATGGAACCCAGAAGCCCAGGCAACCATGGACTTGGAGTCACCTTCAACAATCAAAGATTGGCCCCAAGATGGGTCAAAATTGTCCCGGAGACCTAAAGCTTCTGCAGTGATGGAGTTGGAAATTCCTTGGGCGGGAGTGGGACTAGAAAGTAATACCATCTTTGTCTCAAAATAACCCTCCAGTACCTGCAGGACGTCAAAATTGAGTTTAAGCTGGCCATTATGTGGTGGTCTCCAGAGGGAGGCATGGGGAATCCCTGTGGTCTAAGGGTCGGTCAGCAAAGCTAACCAGTTTTGGTGAAAATCATAGTGAGAGAGATGTTTAAAGTAATTACTGTGGATTGCCCAGAAAATGACTAGAGACTTGATCTTGTCTCTCAGCACATCTAAAATAACCTTCTGGCTAGGGAAGATTCTGCTATTTCTTTCATTCCAGATGACCGATAAGTTGGCTTCCACAGAAGGATGCCTAATCTGGAGCAAGGAGGGGAAAGGACACAGGAGAATGCCTAATCTGGAACAAGGAGGGGAAAGGACCGAGTGAAATAGGTGTAGGATTATGGGTGGGGTCACCCACTGCCAATTGAAAAGTAGTGAAAGGTCTACCCAGAGGTCAAAGACAATTTTGCAATGGATGGAAAAGTGGGAATTACTTTCCTCTTCCTCCATGTACATGATACACCTATTGGGTATCTGAAGTCCCCTCCTTTGAAGTTCATCAACCATAAGGGCTCTCTCAGATGCAGCAATCCAATTGAGGAGCTGGACTTTGGGTGGAACTAGAGGGAACCAGGCTCTGGCTGCTATGGAGAGGGCAGAGTTGTTGGAGGTTTGGGGGAGGGCCAGGGTAAGGTACAAGGATTCTACCAAGAATATCCCGGAATGGGTAGGATCTAGATGAGTTTGACGGGCCCAAGAAGAGGGAGGAAGACAGAATGAGATGGCTGAGACGGTAAGAAACTGTTGCAACATCTGGATCTGCCAACAGCCCCTGAAAATCGGGTACAAAACTCTCCAACAGTCTCTAACTGGGTTTCCACTGCCGCCTGAGGCTCTTGAGCAAGCAAGAACAAACTGTGGAACAGGTCCTTCAAGGGGGAGAGGCCAAGCCAAGGGTCGACCCAGAATAGAATTCTGTTGCCAAGCCAAGGCCAAAAATAGATTTCTGTTGCCGAGCCGAGGCCAAAACGTTATATTGGATCCAAAGGGGCGTTCAGAACAGTGAAGGGATTTCCAGGTCCCTGAAGAATTTCTGTGGGCTCTACGGTTGGATCCGAAAAGGATTTGTGTTACGGTATTGGCCGGCTTCCGGTAACTTGTAGTCAGAACCTTTGGAGTTGAGGACTTCCGGCCAAAGGTGGTTTCTTTGGGTGGCAAGAAGCCACCACCATTTACCAAGAAGTACCAAATTGTTGTCTTTGAGTTTGCAAATGTCCAGTCCCACCTGAGAATTGGGTAAGCAAACCTTTGTCCACGAGATGAGGTGGATTCTCTTGCCACCCTCGCCCAAACAGAGAAAATTCCTCATGAGTTGCTCTTGGCGCCAAACCACCAAGGAGGGCATGTGGAAGAGGGACATCTGGTAGATAGGGATGTTAGAGAGGATGGCCAGCCCACAAGCCTACTATCGAACTTATCTATGATGTGGCTCCATTGCCTGAGTTTGGGTTTACTTAGACATAGAGGTAGTCTCAGATATGAGGAAGGAAGTTCTCCGACTGAGCAACCCCACCAGTACACTAAGGTTTTCACCAGATTAGGGTCCACAGCACTCACAAGCCTTTTGGAATTGGCCATGTTCACCCTAAACCCAGTGGCCATCTCGAAGCATTTAAGGAACAGATGTAGGGAATCGATCTGTTGGGGAGGCATCGCAGAATAATAGGGTATCGTCTGCGTTTTATAAATGGAAGATTTCAGGGCCAGAAGAGCCAACCTTGAAACCTTTGAGGAGAGTACATCCCAGAAATCGACTTACTAACACACAGCCTTTGATCCAGGTCCTCCACCGGGCCCCAAATCCCATTCGAAGGCGAGTTTCATCAAGAATAGCCTAATCTAAATGATCGTAGGGTTTCTACCAATCCAATTTGATTATGATCCCAGGAGTTTTGGTTAGGTGTCTAGAGTGGATAGGCTTGTGGGCGGTTCATCGAGAATAGCCTAATCTAAATGATCGTAGGCTTTCTACCAATCTAATTTGATTATGATCCCAGGAGTTTTGGTTAGCTGTATAGGCTCGTGGGCAACCAGTGCCCCATCAAGAATTTGTCGATCTTTCACAAATGCACCCTGGGTTGGTGAGATCACCCAACCGAGAACCTCTTGCAGTCTTGAGGCCGCCAAAAGGGGCGGAATGGTTTGGAAAGACAAATCATCCATCCTCTGTCTTGGCCCCCTGGGGGCCTCAAAGAGGCTTTTGAAGTCGTCTAGAATGGAATTTTCTACCTGTGGGAATTGGTCCACCACTACTAGCCCAACCTTAATCTAGGTAATGGAATTGTCTCGCATTCTACAATTGGCAATTTTGTGGAAGAAGGCTGCATTCAGATCCCTGCTTGAGCCACCAGACTTGGGAACATTGGACCAGTAAATCTCCTCCTTCCGGAGAAGGTTTTGAAAGTCGAATTTTGCTTGGGATCGGATTGACCTCTCTTCGGCTGAGAGGGTGCAGTGTTCTTCAGTGGTGTCCCAATGCTGAAGGTATGAAGAAGGGACCCTTTTTGGTTTCAAAAGCTTCTCGGGAGTTGGATGCTCCAGGATTTGTGAGCTCCTTTGAGAAGCTGAAGCTTCCTCTGAAGGCGATAGCCAGCCCAACCATTAACTTGCTTCAAGGAGGACGACCACCATTAGTGAATGAGGTTGGGGAGGTGATGTTCCTTCAGACCAATTCAAACCTGAAGGGCTTTGAGAAATGAGCAACTGGAGTAGTGTCCAGTAGAATTGGACAGTGATCGATCAGAAGTAGGTTTGGGGAGGGCTAGGGAGTGGGAGCCAGGAAAGGCAGCGATCCAATCCAGGGAGATGATGTAACTATTCAGTTTGGATAGGGTGGGATTGGATGTGTGATCTGACCAAGTGAAGTAGGCCCCTTGTAGAGGAATGTCGAGCAGTTTACATCACAACATGAAATCAAAGAAATTCAGCATGGACTGAGGGATGCTAGGGTTGGAGTTCTGCTCGAAGGACACACCAAGTCAAATGGTAATAGCCAGCAAGTCCAAAATATACATAAGCATCGATTAGGAGCAAAAGACATGAGGTTAAAGTGTACAGTAAAAGCTTGTGACACCTAGAATTTTCTCTTTGTTTAGGTCTCTTGTATGTATTCCTCTGTGTCTGGACTCTGTTGGGTGCATTCTTCTGTGTCTGGACTAGTTTAGATCTTTTGTATGTATTCCTTTGTGTCAGCACTTGATGTGCAGCTAGATATACTTCTATTAGAAATCAAAATCAGCCATCACAAATAAAAGGACTAACATTTAAGAAAAATCAGAAGCTATGGATACTTTATAAAATCAGAAGGAAGAATGTGCAGAAGTTTATTCACCGTAGGAACTATATGATAGAGGGAAGCAACAAGAAACACCCAACCTTGAGGAAAAGTGCAGAGAAACAGATACTAATAGGAATAATGAGGTTGACATTGATGACTCGAGCCAAAAAGATCCCACTTTTTCTTGACCAGATTAATGGGTAACTACTGAAGGTTTGCAGCTAGGGAAACTATTAACAAGCCATCTGCCTTGAAACAGATGTCAAAACATCTAGGGCTTTCAGAAATTCGTGAGGCTGAGAGCAAATTCATAATAATAAAAAAGACACCGGGAAGAAAAAATCATGGAACTAATTTCAAATCTTCTGAAAGAAAGATAAATTTCTAAAAAATAAGTCTATATTAAGTCATTCTAGAAATGGTTTAATAGGTTTATAAGCTTTCCATAATAATTGGAGGCATATCATAGCTCACCCTAAAAGATCCCCAAAATTACATTTCCAAATTCAGTCCAATGATCCAATCATTATAATATCGAGCAAAATCATTCAGTCCAATGATCCAATCATTATAATATCGACCAAAATCATTCAGTCCAATGATCCAATCATTATAATATCGAGCAAATCCAATCAAACAGTAGAGTACGTTTCAGCCAAGATTTAGACCCCACAAGAACTTCGGACTCATAATGTGTATCCTTCGCATCAAAGTGCATTCTCAGAAATCAACTGCAGTTTGCAATAAATTAGAATAGAATAACGCTGTAGGCACTGTTGCAACTGGAGAAAAGAGTAGCCAAGCTAAGTTTTGATGGATGCTCCCATGGCAACCATGGGCAGGGTTAATGTGTGCATTTTCCAAGACAGCCAAGCTAGTGTATTACTTTCATATTCAGGTCCTAATGGAGTGGGAATTCAGCCATTGCTAAAACAAGTGCCCTGCTAGAGGGTCACAGAGTTCAAAAACAAATGAAGGGGACAGCAAAAACAATATTTCATGGGCCTCCAATCGGGAGTTGGCATCATGGCGACTGCATCCAATCTATGAACAAATGCAGAAGAGTAAATCGCACATTGGAGGGCAAATAGGAAGGAATATGAGTTAGCAAAACAAAGTGCTGTGTCCACCCAAGTCATCATTCAAACGGTCAACATGGAGAATCAATAGTAAGATCATCTTTGCGGTAAGAATTTTCTGCCCTTTCTCCACTCATGTCTCCTCTCCCTTCCCACTCTTTCTTCCCCCTTATCTCTTACACTCCCACACCCCTTTCCCCTAATAAAATTCCAGAGTACAGATTATAGAGAATGGTGATCCCTAGTGGTAAAATTTTGTGCAGACACGAAAGTCGCATTTTCCAATCAGGAAACACATATAATAATATAATCATCTTTCATAATAGTAATAATGGTAAAGATGTCTTTGAATAATAGTAAAGAAGTCCCAACATCAAACATGACAGAAAACAACATGGTAGAGGTCTCACTGATCTGTGGTTATCTCTTGACCAGGTGCTGCAAAAGCCTCTTCTACCCCTTTCACATTGTCATAGAAACCTGCATTTCGACCTGCATAAAACCCCAAAAATCAGACTTTAAATACAAATTTTCAAGTCATGTACTATATCAATTTTACATTGGAAAGAAAAATAAGTAGAAGAAACAACTGAAGTTTTTTTTATATTACCAGTGGCCAAAAGAGAAGCAGATCTGACAGGGAAAGAAGCATTCACAGTCTGCTCCCCTCGATCTACCACTGCTCCTTGTTCAGCAACATTATGCTGCTCCAGAGCTAATTTTGTCACTCCTTTGCTTTTAGAAGCCTTCTTCTTACTCTTCTTAGATTCTTTTGTGTCTGAAGGGTCAATGAACAACTTGGTGCTCATACTTGACTCCTCAAAAGAATTTTGATCTCCACTTTCAATTGCCGGATAGAGCGATTCTTCTTCAACCAAATGTTCGGTGCCAAAGGCAGTTCCTGCACTGCTAGATTCCACTTCCCCAGCTCCATTTGTCAAGCTCTCTTGTACAAGATTGCCCATGCTAAAAACACCAGACCCTCTTGAAATGGGATCACCTAAAACCTCTCGATCAGTGTGAAGCTTGAATGGGAGGTCAGATCCAGGCCCCGAGAAAAGCCAGGATTGTTTGCTTCTTTCTTGGGGAACTTGATGAACACCACCACCATCCATCGATTCGGATGGATGGTTAGCATGAAGACCCAGCTTCTGATGAAGCAAGTCCATAAAAACTTGCTTTGACTCATGATCATTGCCCACTCCTCTCCAAGTTCTTGAATCATCAGGATAATGATTGGCCTCATATTCCCTCATTCTCATTTCATCTTGTAGCTGCAACTGAAGGAGCTGCTTCTCGAAAAGCCCATTACGAAGCTCTTCAGTCCGAAGTGGATCAGAAACAGGCAAGTTGTCCAAAGGATCCACCTTTGAACCACGAAACTGGTCCTGAACACCTTGAGGAATAAGAGGATGGACAGATGGGCGCATATGTGCATGCCTCTGCTCTTGTAGACTGAGCTCTTGAAGCCGAGCTAGGGTGCTGATTGCATCTATGCCCTTTCCAGGATCAGCGGGAGATGGAGGGACAGATCGTTCAAAGGGCAACACATTAGGTTCATACAGACCACGCTGGAGCCGATCATGAAGAAAGATGTTTTGCTCGAGTTGCCTCTGTTGCTCAAACAAATGAGCCCCAATTGAATCAGGCCCCGAGTCCATAAATTGTTGTTGCTGTTGCTGCAAAGACCTCTGTTGTTGCTGAAAAAGATCAAAGGGTGACTGCTGAGGAGGATTCACAGTTCTCACAAACTGCCCAGATTCATCCATGGACCAGAGCCCACCCATATGCCTTTCATCATCAGATGAGTGGCGAGAGAATTGCCGAGCACGTAGTTGCTGCTCTTGCTGATGCCTAGCAAGAGCCTGTCGCTCTACAGATAACCTCTCCTCTTGTTTGGCCATCGATAGGAGCTCCAAAAGATCATGGTGGTGATCACGTCGAAGACTGTTTCCAAATTTCGCCTGGATAAGCTGCTCAAGAGAAGGGTCATGGTGCCTTGGTGGTTGAGAATGGGATTGCATCTCTGAGAGAAAACTCCCTTGTTGTTGTTGTTGCCTGAGCAAGACCTGGTCCAGCAGAGCACCACTTCTTGAGGGCTCACCAAAGTTGGGGCCGTGCATTTGTCTCTGCAGTAACTGTTCAAGAAGCAATTGTTGGGCTTGAGATTGCTGATGTTGTTGTTGCTGCAGCTGCATTTGATGGTGAAGCTGTTCTTGTTGATGCAACTGGTGTTGATGTTGGAGCTGAAGCTGGTGTTGGTGTTGCATTTGGAGCCTCAGAAAATGATCAACATCTGCCTGTTGTTGATGGTGTGGCGGTTGTGCTTGAAGAAATGCAGGGTTCAGGCCATGGAAAGTGGGAGAGGTCGATAGCTGATCTAATGAGGGCCCTCCTTGGTGCATATTTAGGTGAGGGGAACCAAAGGCATGTTGTTGCTGTTGCATCTGTTGCTTCTGCAATTGCTGAGAAACAAGCAAATCTGCCATTTCGTGGCGACGAGACTCTTCTTCAAGATGAGATAACCGTGCCCTCTCAAAAGAAGAATGACTTGGGACATCCCCAACAAAAGGGGAATCCACAAAGGAACCCTGCCTCAAGTTGAAATTGGAGGGATCTCGAGCCGAAGCAGGATTCACATGGTGAGGAGGGCCATCAATACCAGGCATCATCTCTGATGGCTGGTTATGTCGGAGACGAGGTCCATCGAGCTCAGACCACAATAGTCCCAGAGGATGCAAATTATTCGTATTAGTAGTAGTTAGGTGATTGGCCCCACTAGCATGAGCATCAAGTGATTCACTTGCAGAAAAATGGACGCCCATGGGATCATGAAGCTTTCCAGTAGGTCTTCCTATGGGACCTGAGCTGCTTCCGGGTCTTCTGGAGAACAAACCTGTAAGCAACACAAGAAAATGACTATGTTACATCATATGCTCCTATATTTCTCCTACATTTTCAGGTTTTTTTTTTTTAACTGTTTACTAGTTTGTCCTAGTCACTTTCATATTAACGTAACATTACTTCTTCAGTTATCCAAACATTCATGGATCATCTAAGTAACAAGCAATCAAATGGCAAACTAACCTTCCGTATCTGGCATTCCAAAGTCATGAATGCTCTGGAGCTCAGCATTGAGACGACTCATTGAAGTTTCTGAATCAGCATGTGAAACTTTTCGATAGATATTTTCCAATGGATCCTCGTGTTTCAATGTTACTGGATGGCCATGACCCAGAGGATCAGCAAATTCAGATATCGGATATTGTCCATTTCCTGGAACACTATCAGAAAATTTAGGTCCACCACTTCCAACAACTTTCACTTCAGAATCCGAAGGTTCCAGTTTATCCTCAAGATCAACCACAAGCACAGGCCTGCCTTTTTGTTTCAGCTGAGGCATGATATCCCCAAGTGCCCTAAAAGGTGTCCCTTCTGGAGCATCAGCAAGACATACAGGCAAGTCGGTGTCAAAGAAGCCTTGATCAAACCATGAAATTACATCAACACCCAAAAAAGGTCCCTGAATATCCCCTTGTGGGTCCCTATAGTACAGACTTAGATCCTCAGGAGGGACTCCCCTCTCCACAAGCTTATCTTCACGGTTATCCTCCCGGCACTGATTGTTACCACTAATTTGAGTCTCTCTAAGTGATGGGAAATCAAATAGAGAGCTCGAATCAGTGGGTAACTTGTTATGTATATCAAGTGGGGACACAGAATCCATGCCTTCAAAAATAGAGGGCCTAAAGACATGATTTTCCACTTGCTTTTCTCCACTGAAAAAGCCGACATCATTGGGTTTAGGTTGAGGACCATCAAGGTGACCATCAAGCACTCGCCCATTGCTAATAGCGTCATACTCAGAAACTACTGCAGTGGAGTCCAATTTTATTTTAGTAGAACCTGTCAAATCTGGCAATCTAGCAGGTTCATTTTCATTTCTACCTGCGATCAAGTGGAGACACAGAGTTAATGCCTTCAAAATAGAGGCTTCATCATCATTTTAATATCAAAGGAAAGTAAATCTAAAAGTGGATTTTTTGAAGAAAGCAGCAAAACTCAATCAAAATTTTGCAAGAACAGAATCAACTAATCAAAATTTTTCAAGAACAGAATCAACTAACCAAGTCCAAGATTTGGCTCTTGAAACTCTCTAGACTGGAATCAAAATGGAAATTCCAAATCATGGGATAGGATTTCAGCCAAGCATTGTTCCACTCAACAGAGAGAACTAGTAATTTCAGGCACTCAGGCCCCAAATGTAGAAAATGCACGTCAGGAAAAGAAAGACATTTAGGGGGTTTGGGAAAATATCAGCAGAAATTCAGCTCAAGATTTGTTTGCCATCAAAACAAAAGGTACGTTCCCATAAAACGCAAGACATGCACACATGTGTACATGCATGTAGCATGTAGATATGTGTGCATGTGTATGCATGCACGTGTGCATGCGCATCATAATACATATTTTTCTGATAACATGGGCCATTATACATATTTCAGTATCAAAAAGGGGCCAAATCTAACTTTCTGCTGAATTTAGGGCCATTTTACATATTTCAGTATCAAAAAGGGGTCAAAACTAACTTTCTGCTGAATTTAGCTAAGAACTTGATGGACAAGAAATAACAGAGAACTTGCCTTGGTTGTCTAGGACGCCCTTCCTATAACTATCAACGAGACCAGAACCATTTGGAAGCAGAGCATCAGACTTGGAAGCAACTCCCAAAGAGTCGTCAGTGTCATCGATGTTAGTAGAGGCCTTTCTCTCAATGGAAACATCATCTCCAGTACCTGCATAATGAAAAAATTCTTAGGCCACGCTGAAGAACATACTGTAAATCAAGAATGGAAACATCATCTCCAATACCTACATAATGAAAAAATTCTTAGGCCACGCTGAAGAACATACTGAAAAACAAGAATGCAAGTGATCCATGCGTACCTTGATGCACCTTCACCAGTCTCTCTCTAGATGAGTTATGATATACACCACTGCCAATGATTTTTCCTCTGGATATATCTTCCAGAACAGCCTGAAAGCAGTTAGGGTGGTCTAAATATGAATAGGCATTACAATTATCACGAATTGAATTAACAGCTCAGACATTTAAGCAGCAATTTATAATAACCAAAGTCGGTAACGGAAAGGAAAACAGATAACAGGATGCAAAGGAATAGATTTAATACGAACATCTCTTTTGACTAACCATACAATTCAAGAATATGTCCTTGGAAGTCCCGGAACTAATCTTATATCCTACAGGTCCATACCCCTGAAGAGACTGCTACTGGTTTTGGATGGGATTATAAAACTAGTGTGTGTAAAATATTTAGACACACACACACACACACAACAAGGAAATCATGAAAGACATATGAAAGGAAAACTCAAAAAGGAAATTCCATATTAAAGCTTCCTCTTTTCCTTATCGTTAAAATTTCTTCGTAGTAGACCAACCACAAAAGTTCAGGGTTAAGTGGTTAAAAGAGATATACTAATTTTTGTATATGACAGGAGTTTTTTTTTTTGGCATGTGTGCGTGTGTGTGCATGTGCGGCGACAACAGAAGCATGAGAATATAACATTGATTCATTTGTTTTTAGTGAACGATATCATAATGGAGGAGCCATAAAGGCCACTGTAAATTTCATCTCAAAGCTGTATAAGGTGAAGGAAAGGATTTGAGTAGGTTGCATTCACTAGAGTTGAGAAGCTCACTCTAGAATCAGTGATGTAGGCATTATCATCCAAGATAGGTCAAAACTGCATTCTTTGATTAACTCTTGGATTTTTAGCAGAGTAATTTGGAAAGCACAGTTCCAAATTCAGGTAAAATCTGCATGGGAGTCCAAAGAAGACCACAGCTAAGTTTCAAAACAAGCAAGTCCTGAAAAGGGACCATTATCTCCCCTCAGAATGGGAAAGAAGACCAAGAAAATTATACCAATAGGGTATATACACTTGTGTAGACCACAAGGAGTCACTTTGCAGACAATTGGGATAGAAACATTAGCTTTTGGAGGATGTTAAGAAGATGGATGGTCGACTCCAAGGCTCCTATTTAATCTAATCAAATGATGCAAGGCTTCTTTTGTTCTCCTAGAGGCGTCTAACAAGGCGACCCTTTTTCTCCATGGACATAAGCAGGTCTGAAGCTTTCAACATGTCAAAGCCATGGCAATAGATTACAGAGTGCTTATTTGATCTTAGTTTAGGGCCAATAACCTACGCTCCATTTTCTAAATAACACATTGATTTCATCGATGGATGAATGATAATGCAAGATTCAATTTCATGATATTTGTGATGTTAATCTCAGGAAAGGTTCTTTTGATTTGTTAAGGAGGAACCAAATACTGGACCACAATTTAAGAAAGTGAATGTGTTAATGGAGAGGAAGATTTTTCATCTTTCCAAACAGAAAGTTCAGATACGATACATGAAAATTGGTTTGGGCTCACAGAGGGGAGGGATCATGGTTTCAGCAATCAGATGGTACAATGCGAGCAGACTGAAGGAGAATGCTGCTAAAAGATCAAAGGATTAGTGCATGTAATAATGGCATTTATATGGAAATTGCAATGGAGATTGAGGGTAATGAGGTCATCTGCAAGGGATGGGTATTGGCAGAATGGGCTTATTAGTGGGCCTGTCGTTAAATGGCTGGAGAATAAAAATAGGCTTCTAAAGCTTTCTACAGAGTGGGAAGAATGCCTAGGTCATATGTTGCTCAGCACAGCAGTAAATAGAAAGGCCCAAGTTGCAGGTAGTTTTAGATCCCGGTTCAACCATCAAACTACATTTTTTATGTGAATTCCATTTGTCTACAGAACTAAGCATTACACTAAAGATATATACACCAGATGTTTGCCAAAACTAATAAAAATTGAAGACAGCATTTTCTAAGACAGCATATTTCCTCAATCCTACTGTAGAAAAATACAAAGCCTATAATGAAGAAGATGGAACAAGCTACAATTCCAATGAAATTACCATATCAATCACAGTTTGCAATTTATCCCACTACTCAATTGCGACATTTGGCAGTACAAAATTTATCATGTAGCATGAAAAGGCAAATGCAACAAAAAGCTTCTAGAGTCTAAATTTCAGGTAAAACTTCAGCATTCACAACTCTTTTAAGAAATTTTCAATTTAAAGACCTCTTGTGTGTTTCAGTTCTAATGCTTGGACAAAGACTTGTGAATTATGTAGAACCCAGGGCTGCTTTGATAAATAATATTGAAAGCAAAATATATTGGATATTGTAAATACTTATTTAGAAATTAGTCATACCTCTTCTTCAGCATCAGGTGCAACAAAAGCCAATGGATCAATTGGCTCAGTCCGAGTAATGTCTGGAACTTCAATAAAACCATCAACAGCAGGCAAAGGTTTCCCTTTCCTGTATATGTCAAGTAGTTTACCTCTGGGGTAACAAAACGTCTCAGCTGATAAACCACTCTTTCCAGGCCCAACATCACTCCTTTCTACAGGTGTGGCACCAATAGTTGAAAAGGAAGACCCACTGTGTTGCATGGTCACATTGAAGTTCGCCCGCCCTCGACCAGGAGCAAACCCCAGATTTGAAACTCTTTCTCCCCCAAAACCAGGAGCAGCACGGTGCACCATCGACCCTGCCTGGTGAGCTTCCTGTCGATGGCGTGGCCTCCATTTATCACGAGAATCAGTTTCTCGTTCTGAACCAGCACGATTGCCAATAAGTACTGACTGTTTCTCACTATGAACTTCTTCCTTCTCAGTATCCACCCTTTTCTCACTTCGTAAATCTTTGTCCTTGTCTTCGGGGCCCCATCTCGATGACCATTTGCTATCACGTCGCGTTTCATGCCCAGAACTACGACTATTGGTATCATGCCATCGATCAGAAGGGATTAACCTAGCTTCTGAGCCTTCTCTGTTAGATACAGCTTCAGTGCGATTAGTAGTCTTTCGGTACTCGCTTTCCCTATCGCCTTCTTTTCTTCGATCTCTTCTTCCAAGTAAGCCCGTGTCTCTCTCCTCTTCACGCCAGCGATCACGGCGACCACTTTCAGTCTCAGGTACAGTCCTTCGCCATTCCTTCTTATCTTGAGATCCATCCAAACGCCATCCATCTTTCTGCAATGGATCTGCAGAACTGCCATGAGGCAATATGCTTGGTGAACGGATGTCCTGTGATACACCAGAGAAGAAAAGGAATATAAGTATTAGATTGCTTTTTTTAAAAACAAAGAAAAAAATCAGAGTAGTATAATTATATCACATGTAATGGAAATAAAATGTTATTATCTACCAACCAATGAATGAAACAAACCACAAAATTCAAAAACAGCTCAAATTTCTCAAGGATTAATCATATAAACAAGAATGAAGGACAAATATAACACAGAGAAGCGCCTTAAATTTATGGAATTGTTTTAAAATGCGATCGCATATGCGGTGCACCCAGTGCACATGCGGGCATATATCACATGGCGCCTGCATAGACTGCCCACACTCGTGGGAGAAAATAATGCCCACAAGTGTGGCCATTTAGGTATAAACCCCCCAGACCCCCCCCCCCCC